GGGTAGGCTAGTTCTAATCAACTCAGTATTAGACTCTCTACCTACTTACATGATGTCTTTGTTTCCAATTCCAGCAGGCATCTTACAGAGATTGGACAAACTCCGAAGAACATTCCTTTGGCAAGGCAATAAGGAGAAAAAGGTCTTCTATTTAGTCAATTGGAAGACGCTAACAATGGATAAAAAACAAGGTGGAATGGGGATAAGGAATTTGAAGAACCAAAGCAAGGCTCTAAGAATTAAATGGTTATGGAAGTACTGNTCAGTGCAACCTATGTACTGATTTTTATAATATATACAATAGTTACCAATTCAAAAAAAAAATATCAAGGTAAGAATTTCAAAATCGATGGACATTTTGTCTTCTTTGGTGCTGCTGAGATGAGAGCTAGTAAAGGTTAGATAAGAGCTCACAAATTTTCTTATAAGGCTACAGAAAAATTTCATTAAAGAAAAAGATATTCATCAAGTTCTTAACCTCTAGAATATAACCATACCTGAGTAGGTTTCTCTGTCTTCCTGTTTACCATTGACAACCTTGGAAGGCGTTGTCTCATGTAAGCATTGATGCTCCTGCTCGTCATGGATCTTGTGCTCAGCCAAAGGTTCATGCTCTGCTACATCAGGAGTTACTCTGGGAAAATTATGTAGCAATAGCGACTGTTCTGATGGATTCTGTAGATGCTTTTTTTGTTCCATATACTCACAAAATGTAAAGACAAAAGGGGTTAAGGCAACAGTTTCCTTGTTTAGACGATTTGGGCCACATCTCAAGCTCTAAGGAGGGAAAGAATGACGAGAGACAATGAATAGAAACAATGATCCACATAAAGTTGTACCGGCAAGTGATCACAAAAAGCTTTGGTTCCAACTCCAAGACAATCTTCCGACCTTATTTTTTTTTAAATTACTCTATTACAGAAAACATACAGCTGTTATCCCTTTAATTTGTAGTTTGGACAGGGCAGAAAAGGATATTGGTATCTCCATCCTTTCTCATTTGCTTGATCAATGAGTTTCTCCAACAAAGATAGCTTTCGAGCAATCCACTGACATTAAAGGGGAGAGGTAAAAAACCAATAAGAACAAAGGTGGGATCAGATAACTATTGCAAAACACATTGATGAAAATATAGCAATAAACAGTTGGCATTGGCATTTTCATGTTACTTTGGACAAATATAACAGTGCTATGAGCTCTTAAGTAACAAAGTCAAGGAAAGTGGAAACATGCAAAATATAAGCTGGTAGAATTCAAAAGGTGCTTGATACTTGTGGAGATAATAAAGCCTTTCCTATCTGGGGCTTTACAATGATATTTTACCCATACAAGGCATGCTTGAAGGTTGGATGTAGAGCATCAGGCCCGTACAGGAATATGCAAGCTATAGAAAACAGTAACATGAAAACATCAAAAAACGTAGACACGTAGAAAGTCACTCTCTCACCATCTCCCTTTCCCCGCTAAGATATTCATTTATGCATGGATAGATATATAAAAGCATATTCATACAAGTTATTAGGACGGAATTTACTGAAAACGAAACCCAGAGTCTTAAAAATTTAAAAAATTGAGGGGAATGTTAACTCTTACAAAGCAGATTGTGAACCAGTCTAAAGTAGAAGTTACATAGCGTCAGTGTGAGCTTGCAAATTAAAAGAGCAAGAGCTTAAGATATTGTAATCTGTTTTGCATGATCATATCCTGTAATCTCACAGCAGTAGAGGTAAAAAGTACATACAGCTAGAAGCCTAGAACCTGCCGTATTCAAGCAGGGGCAAAATAAACTACCATGATTTTTAAGAATATTTTACTAAGATTGTAACTGTACATGCTTTGTGATATCCTCATGGAGAACTCTAGCCCTTTGTTCGAGCTCCACCTGCAAAGCAGTATCTAGGGTTATGGTAATTTTAAAATCTGGAACATACATGAATATGGATGTTGTGCCAAACTAAGTGATTTATGCTTTGTTTTTTTGTTGATAAAGGTAGCAGTATATTCATCAGCATAAAGCTTGGAGTTGGAGTCAGTTGGTTTTTTGGCTCTTTACAAACTTGTTTTAGTATTATAACCCTACCTCTTTTTTTACACATGGGAGATTTGTTTTTACACGTAAGAGATATGTCTTTTACACAAAAGAGATCTAAAAAGGTCATTTTCTTAAATTCAAAATTGTAAAGGGGCATGATGTACAAATAGCACTAAAAAAAAGGCTTGTGCTGGAAACCATAATTACAAAACAAAAAAAAAAAACAAAAAAAAAAAAAGGAGACCTAGTTATATCTGTCCAAGATTCTTCTTAAAAGGACTCTAAAAACTGTAATGAAGTCTAAGTTTCATCTACACAAATTTTTACACCAAAAATGAGAGGACAAAATACAGTTAAGCTTAATTTTCTCTAAAGAACTCCTCCTATCTTCTAAACACCTATCATTTCTTTGTAATGAGATAAATATAGAAGGATTCCCCACATATTGAAAATATAACAACAAAGAAAGGTTCATACACTGGTAAAGGAGGAGATTTGCCTCACTTTCACATGGGCTAGAGTTACCATCCTATCTACCCACTAATCAATCCCATCGTTCAGCTGACTTTAAACAGTTGTGAATAATATGTTCCACCTTCAGTTCTACTCTATCTTTAATACTTTCAATTAATGCACTTCTGAACCAAGTCTTGTCATGTTCATTTACAAAAACTTATCCATATAACATATGAAGATGACAACTAATTATATTCCCTTGTTTATTTCCCTAGCTGCTTCCCATAACTGGCCATTAAACCAGTTGGACATAAAAGATGCACTCTGCCATGGTGATCTCCTAGAGGAAATGTATATGGAGCAACCACCTGGTCTGTTGCTCAAGGGGAGTACGAGAAAGTTTTCCATTTGAAAGAATCTTTGTATGGTTTGAAGCAGAGTCCCGGTTTGGCAAGTTTAGCGACGTAGTACAAGAATTTGGATGGAAGATGAGCAAATGCGACAACTCAGTCTTCAATAGATGGTTAACAGTTGGTTGTTGCGATATTACGTGATTAGCATAAATCATGATAATTTGATTAGGAGATGTTATGTGATTGGCATAGAATCATGAATGATTAGGGATCTTACGGATTTGATTAGGATTTTATCTGTAATTATACACTTACCAAATATGTACACTTTGTAATAGCTATATATTCCCAATCAAGCTTTGAAGGAATAATCAAGCTTTCTGCCTAAGTCTCAGTCAGTACAGTAACGGTTGGTACTATCCTTCTGGTTGTTTATGTTGACAATATTGTCAACAAAGAAGATGGTTTTACAGGAATTTCTTCTCCCAAGTTGTTCTTATATGCCAAGTTTCACACAAAAGATTTGGGCCAGCTGAAATACTTTTTAGGAGTAGAAGTAACAATAAGCAAGAAAGGGATCTTGTCTCAACAGATAGTATGTACTTGATTAGTATGTATTTGATCTGCTTGCAGAAGCTGAAAAGACGGGAGCCAAACCATATAGCACACCGATGGTTCCTAATGTAAAATGATGGTGATCCTTTTAATGATACGGAAGGATGAGAAGGTTAGTTGGGAAATTGAACTACCTCACAATGACCCGTCTAGATGTCGCCTATGCAGTTAGTATTATCACAGTCAATTTATGTCCGCACTTACAGTCAAACATTGGGCAGCATTAGGACAGATCCTGTGTTACTTGAAAGGAGCTCTTGGCCTTGGCAAGTAGTAAAGCGATCACATGCATACTCAGTGGATGTTGATTGAGCTGGATCCAGAACTGATAGAACATCAGGGTAGGGCTACTGCTTCTTTGTTGGTCAAAATCTGATATCATGGACGAGCAAGAACCAAAGTGTTGTATCTCGATCTAGTGTAGAACCAATGTACAGGGCTATGGCTCAGTCCAGATGTGAAATGCTTTGGATACAGAAACCTTTAGATAAAGTTGGTTTAAAACCTTTGTCAACAGTGTGATAATTAGGCTGCTCTACACATTACTTCAAATCAAGTTACCATGAGAAGATGAAAGATCGAGGACGATTATCACGTTATCTGTGAGAAGATTTAAGAGAGAGGAATTGGGTGATATATTCACGAACGGTCTAAATGGAACTTGGATAGAATATTATTGTAACAAGCTGGACATGATTAGCAGTTATGCTCCAGCTTGAGGGGGATTGTTACAGAATCTACAAACCTCAAAAATAATTTAATTACGATTCTATCCAATGTAAAATTTATATTTTAAGGGTAAAAAAGGCGAACGACATTTCTCTAGGGGACTTCACGTTTTTAAAATAATATAGATATAGATACAAAGACCCCTATTTATAACAATACGTGTTGATTGGCTTAATTATTAGGAAAGATTTGATTTTATTCTGATTGAAACAGCCGGTAAATTGACTTTAATTTATTTTCCTTCCTAAAATAGTTATAGGACTTAGTGTATAAATACATTTGCTTAGGGATGTAAGAAATACACAGAAATACAAGAAGCATTTTCTTCTTTTCAAAAATCTACATGGTATCAGAGTCATTGCTGCCTTTTTTAGGTGAGTTATCTCCTTCACAGCACTAGGATTCTGTTTTTATTAAAGAGGTCGAGTTTTCTCTCTCTTGGTGGCTATACGCAATACAAACTCCTTCCGGTTCCGTGAAGACAAATTTGCTTTCCGGCGAGGCAGATTATTTTTGAGCAATTTTCTTCAGATTTCCATCAGATTGGGCAGAAAATATGGAGACATTCAAGGAGACGGTTTCTAGAGAAATCTTGTCTTAGGATGAAATTCAGCTTCTCCATCGCCTCCTAGCCAAACTTGACTCCGCTAATGTTACCACATCCAATTATGTGCAATTAGGTATTGCCTTTGTTGCTCACCTTAATTCTTGGATTGTTGATTCTAGTGCAAATAGATACATGACAGGCTCTTCTAAAGGCATTCAAAATTATTCTCCGTGTCTCAAAGGAGATAATGTTAAAATAGCCAATGGTTCTTTAACACCTATATCTGGAAAAGGTTCTGTCGTTTGTACTCCTAATATTAAACTATCATCTTGTGCTCCATGTCCTTGAGTTCCCTGTCAATCTTTATTTTGTTAGTGCCATCACCAAAGCTATAAACTGTAAAATCGAGTTCTTTCTTAATCATTGTATTTTTCAGGATCTTCAAACACAAGAAAAAGATTGGCAGTGGCATATTGCATGATAACTTGTATATATTAGATGGAATTCAAAACTAGGGTTAAGACTTTTTTGGGGAAAGTAAGGATGTCAACCAAGAAATAATACAACGGTATAGACAGTTAGGACACCCATCATTCTTTGTTTTGAAGAAGTTATATTCCGATTTGTTTTCAAGGACTCCATTTGAATCTTTGTTCTGTGATGCGTGTGAATATGCCAAACATACTAGAAACTCTTATCCTGTGAGTGATAATAGAAGCACAACTCCGTTTATGACTATTCATTTTAATGTATGGGGTCCTACCCAAACTGTTTATTTGTCTAGTAGTCGATGGTTTGTTACTTTCATTGATTGTTGCACTAAGATGACTTGGGTATATCTGTTAAAAGCCAAAAGTGAAGTTTTCTCTTGTTTTCAGTCATTTTATAAGATGATTTATACTCAGTTTGATTGCAAAATAAAAATCTTAAGAACTGACAATTAGCAGTGAATACATGAATAAAAGATTTTGTGCTTATTGAGAGTCCAATAGGATAGTCCATCAGAATAGTTGTTCTTACACTAGTGCACAAAATAGGGTCGCTGAAAGTAAAAATAGACATTTGCTAGAAGTAGCAAGATCTCTTATGTTCACCATACATCTACCAAAACCTTATTGAGGGATACTATTCTAGTGGTTGCTTATCTTATCAATAGAATGCCACTTAAAACCCTCAATTTTCAAAGTCCTCTAGAAGCTTCAAAGGGTAAGAATGAATATATTATTCCTCCAAAGGTGTTTGGGTGTGTTTGTTTTGTCCACACTAGAAATTTTGGGAAACTTGATCCTAGATCTATAAAATGTGTTTTCTTTGGGAATTCTCCGACACAGAAAGGTTACAAATGTTATCATTCTCCCTCTAGGAGATCTTTTGTTAGCATGGATGTTACTTTTCGAAAATCTGAGCCCTATTTCAGTATTACCTCATCACCTCTTCAGGGGGAGAGCAGTAAGGAGGAAGAAGTGATTCTACCTAGTTTTATTATTGGAACTCTTGATAACATTGTCACAGGGGAAAGTGAAATTGGAGAAAGAATTCAGGGGGAGACTATTGGGCGTTTGGATAGGCCTGATTTGAAAACTTACTCAAGGAGAAATAGAGCAGAAAAAGCTATCATGCAATCTACCGAAGCTTAACTTTCTTCTACTTCTGAGTTATCTATATTTCTTAATGAGTTAGATGAACCTATCGCTCACAGAAAAGGAGTCAGATCTTGCAACATCAAACACACTTTATTTTATTTTGTCTCCTATAATTCTTTGTCTCCTTCCTATAGAGCCTTTGCCTTGTCTATTTTCTGTGTCTATTCCCTAGAATTGGAGGGAAGCTTTTGCAGATCCTAAATGGAAGCAAGATATGATTGAAGAAATGAAGGCCTTGTCAAAAAATGAAACTTGAGAACTTGTCACTTCACCATCAGACAAGAAGTTGGTTAGCTGCAAATGGGTCTTCACTGTGAAACACACAGCCGATGGCTCGATTGAAAGATTCAAAGCAAGATTGGTGGCTAAGGGATTCATTCAGACTTGTGGAGCGAATTATCAAGAGACATTTGCCCTTGTTGTTAAGATGAACACTATTAGAATTCTTGTCTTGTGCAGTTAATCTTGATTGGGACTTGCAACAGTTTGATGTGAAGAATGCATTTCTTCATGGAGAATTAGAATAAGAAGTGTATATGAAGATTCCTCCTGAATTTGATACTGCACAAAGTCAAGGAAAGGTATGCAGATTGAAGAAAGCCTTGTACGGACTGAAGCAATCTCCTAGAGCTTGGTTTGACTTATTCTGCAATGCAATGATCTCCTTTGGTTACCAACAAAGCAATGTTGATCACACCCTCTTCATAAGACATTATACAGGTAAACTCACTCTTCTCATAGTTTATGTTGATGACATAGTAATGATAAGAGATGACAAAGAGGAGATGGCCCGATTGAATAAGTTGTTGGCACATGAATTTGAGATCAAGGATCTAAGAAAATTGCAGTACTTCTTGGGAATTGAGGTTGCTAGATCAAAAAGAGGAATATTTATTTCTTAGAGGATGTATATTCTGGATCTCTTGAAAGAAACTGGTATGACAGGTTGCAGACCCGCAGAATCACCCATTGAAAGCAATCACAGGTTATAAAGCGGAGTTGAAGAGTCGGTCGATAAGGAAAGATATCAGAGGTTGGTTGGAAGACTCATTCATCTCTCCCACACTAGACAAGATATAGCATATTCAGTTAGCCTGGTGAATCAGTTCATGCATGATCCCGAGATTTTCATATGCAAGTTGTCTTTCACATTTTGCGGTATATGAAGTCTGCTCCAGGGAAAGGTCTACTTTTCTCCAAACATGATCACCTCCAAATAGAAGCTTTTACAGACGCGGATTGAGCTGGATCTCTGGATGACAGAAGATCTACATCTGGTTATTGTACGCTCGTAGAAGGAAACTTGGTTACTTGGAGAAGCAAGAAGCAAAGTGTAGTTGCTAGATCAAGTGCGGAGGCAGAATATAGAGTTATGACCCAGGGTGTTTGCGAACTGCTTTTGGCTACAAAAGCTACTAGAGGAATTGAGACTGTGTGAAAAAGGAAAATTTTCCTTGTACTGTGACAATAAGGTTGCCATCAGTGTAGCTCATAATCCAGCCCAGCATGACCGAACAAAGCATGTGGAAAATGATCGACACTTCATCAAGGAAAAAATTACAACAGGTGTTTTGAGTTTGTTTCATGTGCCATCGGAAAAACAGTTAGTTGATGTGTTTACCAAGGGTCTCAACAAATGGATTTTTCATACATTGTTTGCAAGTTGGACATGTGCAACATTTTTCCACCAACTTGAGGGGGGAGTGTTGATTGCTTAATTATTAGGAAAGATTTGATTCTGATTGAGATTTGATTTTATTCTGATTGATTATAAATTGACAGTAATTTAGTTTCCTTCCTAAAATAGTCATAGGACCTAGTGTATAAACACCTTTGGTTAGGGACGTAAGAAACACACGAAAATGCAAGAAGTCTTTTCTTCTTCTCAAAAATCTACAATACGCAATACATATTATAATCATATTCCATGTGCGACTCTATTTATTTACACAACTACTAACTATGTAAGAAAAAGGAAGCCAAAAATGAAGTGGACAGCTTGCTAGGCAGTATGGGGCAGAGAACCAAAAATGAAGACAATAGCAAGTAGATTTAATATTTGCTATGACTCTGGAAACCACGACTGAAAAATACCTCACCGCCCTCCCCACAAGGAGAGATTCATTTTACATCATTCATAATACGACAAGGATTTAGAATCTAAAATTTTCACTCGATTCTAACTAGTATGAACAAAATTCTTGACACAAATTCCTCCATTACCTTGTTATTTTACAGTCACCACCCTCCCCACAAGGAGAGATTCATTTTACATCATTCATAATACGACAAGGATTTAGAATCTAAAATTTTCACTCGATTCTAACTAGTATGAACAAAATTCTTGACACAAATTCCTCCATTACCTTGTTATTTTACAGTCACCACCCTCCCCACAAGGAGAGATTCATTTTACATCATTCATAATACGACAAGGATTTAGAATCTAAAATTTTCACTCGATTCTAACTAGTATGAACAAAATTCTTGACACAAATTCCTCCATTACCTTGTTATTTTACAGTCAGACATGTTTTTCTTTGAAAAGGAAGCCAAAAATGAAGCGGACAGCTTGCTAGGCAGTATGGGCTATCGAACCAAAAATGGAGACAATAGCAAGTAGATTTAATATTTGCTGTGACTTTGGAGACCACGACTGAAAACTACCTCAACCCTCTCCGCAAGTAGATATTCATTTTACAGCATTCATAATACGACAAGGATTTAGAATTGAATGAAGATTGTAAATCACTTAGCTATTCCTGGATTCTCCATTGTGATTTGAGATACCAATTTATAGCGCTAAGAGCAATAGAGATGAGGCTGGGAACCGCACTTTCTCTAAGGTGTGACTGGAAAGAGCACTTCTTTTTTTAGATGATTCAACTTTCTTTTGGGTGAAAATTTCTAAATAAGACATTCATACATTAAAAGGTTTCTGGATTAAGATTATTAGTAATAGATATATCAAATAAAAGGCAATAAAGCACCTACCACAGTAAGCTTTTTAAGTACGCCAGCTTTCACCCTCTCTCTTAAATCTTCACATTCTTCCTGCCAAGGAAATGCCAAAAGTAAAAATACATTTAAGGGACAGCCAAGAAGGCTCCTTAAGCACACAGGAACACACGTAACATCTTAAAATTTTACAAAGAGTAGATGCTCTGTTCTATGTTAAAAGAGGTTTATGGACAATAGGGATAGGTATTCATTAGTAGTAGTGCAACTACAATTCTTCACAACTACATTACTGTTCTCCATAATTATAGTACTCCGGCTGCCACCAAAATTTGAAGTACTGGAAATCCAATCAGTTTTGCCGTTCACAATTTGAAAATTTTAGAAGATTGACAAGAGTTTATCCAAGATTGATGGACAACATTTAATATCTGTTGAGTCCCACATCTATAGGATTTGGGTTTCTTGGTCTCCTTATATGTCTTCGGCAATCCTCACCTCACAAACTAGCTTTTGGGGTTGATAGGCCCAAGGTCCATTTATCGTGGTATCAGAGCCAAACTTATCCCAATTTATTGTTAGATGTTGAGCCCCCATTTATGTTGTCCACGCTCCAGTTTGTAGGCCCAGGCGTGGGGGGTGTTGAGTCCCACATATGGGATTTGTGTTTCTTGGTTTCCTTATGTGGTCTTGGGCAATCCTCACCTCATGAGTTAGCTTTTGGGGTTGAGTTAGGACCAAGGTCCATTTATCATAATTTTTTAGATGAGATGGTTACACACTTCAACATGGTATCAGAGCAGGTAGAGGCTCTGGGTTCGAGTCTCACCGGTCAAAAAGAATCAAGCTCGCACATGATGTGGCGTGTTGAAGACATAATAAGCAAATAAAAGTGTACTCTCTTTAACAGCTTAAGCTTTTAGAATGGTCACACACTTCAATAATATTTTTCGTTGATGGGAATGATTGTGCAAGTGTCGTGTACATTTTGCTCGTTAAAGTAACAGCGGAATGCAGTGAGGCTTCTAAGCAGGCAATGGAGAATATTCAGAACCATTGGATATACTAGTAGCTGCAGAATCCTGTAAAAGTTCTAGAAGGCAATTAAAGCGATAGAACTTGAGATCAAGGAGGATACCGATGTAAAATCATCATCTGAAAGCATGCTCAAGCAAATATCTCTGAACGTATTTGAAACTTGAAGAACAGTCTCATTTTTTCCCTTACCAATTGAGCCTTGCTTGATGCCTGATAATGCAAAGCAATATTGGTATGGAAAACTTCAGGTCTTAAGAAAGATGTAAAGAAAGAAGAGATTTGAGAATGAACTGTGTGATTATTCCCGCAAGCATGTTGAGGTTTATATAGTGTTTACAAGTAATCCTAAAAGGAAACAAAAGTATGCAAGTAATCCTAAAAAGAAATGAAAAGTAATTCCTATTCCTTTTTTTTTTTTAAGAGTCTAGTAATTCCTATTCCTATTTACATATATGGATTCTAAACCTTTGCTATATATACAAGGAATAGGATCTTGTAATATTAATAATATTCTAATTCTTAACAAAAGATAATGGTCTAAGTATAAGTCGGACCAGAATAACATCTCTATTATTTTTTTCTTATCAACGCTTTCCCCAAATTATTTAAGTTGCTTCAATCTTTGGTTTGTGTCAGTTTAGTTTCAAGCTTTACCTTCTCAAAGACAACTACTTTTCACAAGGGTTAGGTCTAGTGGCCAATAAGCTGGAGTGGGCCATGGTAGACCAGGATCCAGATCTAATTTCAAATAGAGAGAGAAATTACCCTCTATCTAAATCTTGGGGGCGGATTTAACCGTAGCTGTATTGTGCAATGGCTTCTCAGCACTTCCAGAACAAACAGAGATGCTAAAGAAAAGAAGAACAAAAGTTCTTGAACAGATTTTGCAAGGACAGTGTAAACAGAGAGAAATATAGAGAGGGAACCTGCAAATTCTTTATTCAGATCTACAATTCAATTAAGAATCGTATTTATACACAAGATGATTCCCTGGCTAAGGCCCAAAGTAAATAATATCTATCACTAGGGGTTGGCTGTTGCAACCTTGGGTGATGGTGAGGCCAATCTCCATTCAAGTGAGTTTAGGCGAATCCCACATCTTTGAGATGATGGTGGGGCAAATGTAAGTGAGGAGTGAGGCACTGAGTCCTAAGGGGGCGTATGTGACATTCTAGGCAAATCCCACATTGACAAAACACGTGAGAAATGTTGGGTATATAAGGAAGCAAGCCTTAGAACCTAATGACACGTTTTAAAGCTGTGCGAGCCAAAGCCCAAAACGGACAATATCACTAGTGGATTGGGCTCAACCTTGAGGCCGTTAAGCTTCAAAGTTAGCAGTGCAGTCATAAAGAGTTAAGATGCTTGAACAAGTTATCCATGTCAAGAAAACACAAATTATACTAAGCAAACAATCTTAAGGAAATATGGGAACAACCTAGTCAAAAATTGATATCATATTAGCAAAAAATTGGGAAAGAAAGTATCCTCATCATGCATTTTTCAGACTTCTGCATAGCATTCTACCAAAGGGGTGTCAGCAACTAATTAAAACTAACCAAACTATGAAGTCGTTTGTTAAAATAACCTGTGATTTGCACAAGCTGATGAGAGTTTCTCTGACTGTAATCGCATGGATCTGACTTCACCCGAACAAAACTTCCTATAATCTTGTTTTCATTTGATTGCAGCAGCTTGATCATCTCCAGCACTAGGCTCTTCTTCAAATAGACAAGTTTAATATTTTCAGGGACCAAGGCTGCAAATTGACTCGGAGCTGGAGTAAGATACTTCTTTGTCAGTTTCTTGTTTGGATCTGACTTTTTGCCAATTTCGGAAGCCACGAATATTTCCCTGTCATTTTCTTCAAGATCATCATCAAGCTCCTCTTCTTCCGAATTCTGCTCATTTTCGGCAAAGTGTGCTTCAAGGAGTTTATATATTCTGCCTATGTTAACCTTTTTCTTACCTAAGACTGTTTGTAATCTAGCATCACAAATTATCCTCCTCTTTTTTACTGGATCACAAAGATCATTTTTTTTTACATAGTTATTTATTAGTAAGGACACATCATGTTGGGATAATGTTTCACTAGTATCTTGACCAATAAACTGAAGAAAGTCAACTAGAGCTTTTGACCCCCATCCAATAAATTCCTTTTTCTTCGATTTAACTTTTCGTTGCAATTTTTGTTGCTGAAGCTTATATCTCTTCTTTTTACATCCTCGCTTGTGAGGTTTCCCATCATTCGAACCTTCATAGTCAGAAACCAGCTGCTCATCCTCTTCTTCACTACCTTCATCTAAATTAGAGGTTGGTTGGTACTCATTGTCCCTGTTCACTCGATCTTTAGCAGCAAAAAGACTGCTTTTGTCAAATCTTTCTTTTTCCTTGACTGTTTCATAATACTCTCTAAACAGGCCTTCATATGTCTCCCGGTCTCTAAGGTTGACACTTTCCTGGAATGTAATAACCATTCACACAGGAATGACAATCAAATACTTACCAAGAAGAAGGTTAAAAAAAATGAGCAAAAGAGAGAAACAAGATAATAGCAATAATAAAACAAGACTCCTGTAAATGCATGTTACCATTTAGATGATTGCAATGAGTAGAGAGAAGTAAAATCCATGCAAAATCTACTTGTCAACTTGTTTTCTTGATAGAGACAGTAATCTGTGTAATTCTGCATATGCACCCAGGTGCCTATTTTTATTTTTATTTTTGATAACCATGGTGTCCGGGCCAGCTTGCGCGCACCTCGACTAATTCCACGGGATACCTGCCACCTCCCACCAGCAACAGGTACCAGGTAACTCTATCCACCTCCCACCAGCACCTAGGTGCCTATTTAGAAACAATAAGTTCATTCTTCTGGTAAAATTCAGGATAACTGATTAACATGTCAACAGAAAATGGGCATTATCGTAAATAACACTTTCTTAGCTTATCTCCATAGTGTGTAAACTTTCCTTTGAAGGATATCATATTTAAGCATACATCGCGGAGTTGTTAAATACAGGGCGAATCACAATAGTTAGTTATAACTATAGTCACCTCGCTTCTACTTTGGTAGCTTCCTTCAGTAGCCTCCAAAGGCAACCTGGGAACAATGGAAGAGTTCTGCTACCAACTAATAATTGCTCTACCTAATAATTTAACTGAAAAATTTGCTCCATCTAGTAGGTGCAAAACTAGCTAATCACTATAGCCATACTCCTTTTGTTAGCTCTTTCTAGAGCAATACCATTACCAAGCTTAATTTAGCTGTTAAATAGACGGTGTAACACAAGTCATCAATTACTACAAGTATCACCTCACATGCTGCTCGATAGACTACACTTGCTCAAGTGACAGGAAGCCTAACATGAGAAACTTTTAGGAACCAACTACATGATTATTTAACCCAACACTCCTCAAATTTAGCTAATGATAGTCCCATGCATACATCCTTCTTCTTTTAATTCTGTGTAAAGCCACCCCCTCAGAGCAACATTGGAAACTTTCCTAAAATAAACTTCAACATTTTGTTTTTATTTCCTTCTCTTATGAATAAAAGACAAACGTATTTGCTTTTCTAAAATGTCATACTGTGAAGCTTTAGAGCTCTAGACATTGACTTATCGAATTTTGTCAATTTTCCATGAGTTGCACAGATAACATTCCAAAACAATAGTCAGCAATTAATAAGTAGCGAAACATGTAGTTTGAGAAATAAAGGCATAATTGTCATCCATACCCCTTCAGAATCAACATCCATGTTTTCTTCCACAAGTAAAGCAAGCTTTAAACAGTCATTGCAGAATCCATACTTCCCTTTAATACGGGCAAATTCTGTATAAAGGATGCAGCGATTGCATACAGCATTTACACAGCAATAACAATGATAACTTGAACTTCTGTGGCAAAATAAGCAACTGTGCCATCCTGGAATATAGTAAGAACGTCATTACTTTGAGCCAGCTATTATCAACATAAAACAACATTGACACTAAGGAATAAGATAAATAACGGAAGAGTAAATAAGAACTCAAACCCAACAAATTCCAATGTAATCTGATGTGTTTCAGATAGACATGATACTCTTATGTACTTTTGAGTTTCAGCCAATCTTAGTTGTATGGATAAATAGAAGACAGATCTTGGCCCTCGGGCCAAAAAGTTGAATTACACTCTGATTATCTTCACTGCAGCAAAAACTAGTAATAACCCTCCCTCCCTCTCTCTCAGTGTACCTGCGGGTAACTGTTTTCTATCTGTTTATACAGATATGGCAAGACCATCAAAACGAATAAAATTAGTAAATTACTTAGCCTGATGATAAATAAAAAGTAGGTTAAGATCAGAAAATAAATTTAAAAAAATAGATGATTTCACTATGCCTGTGCACATTGGTGAAGAAATACAAGCTTTGGGAAGCTTCCCAGCAAAAATATTACAATCCTCCTATGTTCAGACAATTTGCAGAAAAAACTTAGAAAAGATTAGCATGTAACGGTGTTGCTAAAGGTGAAAAATAGAAATGCACCAATTTCCATGCAGTTCTCACTGGCTATTAGTTGATTAATCCTATGCTTCCTCTGCCACCCAGGATCGTGTTCCACACTATGTCTTGTTCACAATCTCCTCATTTTTCTCTTCCTCCTTGTGTCTTTGATATACTTGTTTTGTTCATAACCAAATTCCTAGACGTGATAAGCTAGTTCTCGAGCCAACAAATGTGTCTTGGCTTTTCTAGGATTCAAAAGCATTATCATTGCTATTCTCCTGAAGATACCAACTTAATTGGCACCTGATGTCAACAGATGTTACATTCTTTGAGATTCAGCCTTAATCAACTCTTTTTTCTTCTAAGAATCAGGTATATCTACTAGCTTCCTCTCCTTCTACAACACGCCACTACTGACATATTATCTCCATCGCCAACATCCTCCACCGAGTGAACATGATTCACGGCCTGTACTGAATTCTTCTCCAGCCGTGGATCCATCTCCTCCTGCTAACCCTCCTATTGTTAAAAGGTATACGCTCTACTCGTAATTCAGGTCCTAAACACATGTTTGAGTTACAATTGATAGTCACCAGTATACCATGTCATTATTTCATCCATGTCTAGTGTTTCTATATCTTAATCTGCATGCAAAGCTCTCTGATCGAAGCAGAATTAGCTTTTGGGGATACAAGTGGTGTGGAGAGAATGTGTAGAGCATTGCCTTCCCCAACTTATACAGAATTTCGAACCAGAAATACTTGACAGTGCAACAAATTCAGAGGATACATAAGGGGGAAATGATTTGGGATCTTAGATTCAGAAGGAATCTACAGGATTAGGAGATGGGCGAGTTCCTAAGCCTTGTAGAATTCCTTTACAAACAGAATATATCACATGGCATGCAAGATAGGTGGAGATGGGACATAGGGAGAGATGGACAATTCTCAATCAAATCATATTACTGTAAGCTTTTGGTGAGAGATGAAGCGGATTTTCCGCATCTTTTGATTTGGATACCTAGGGTTCCTAGAAAAGTGTGCTTCTTTGTGTAGTTGGCAGCTAGGGGAGCAATACTGATAGCCAAGAATCTAAGGAACAATAGGATCATGCATCTCAGCTGGTGCTATATGAGTAGGTGCTCGGGAGAAAATGTTGACCATCTCTTATTACATTGTTCAACTCAGAACAATAGGTTCTGAGTTGGTTTGATATACATTGGGTTATGCCGAGTTCAGTAAAGGAGGCATATCATTGCTAGAATTTCAAAAGGAGAAAGAGAAGTCGTAAGGCATGGGATGTAGCCCCACTAGCTCTTATGTGGTTGTGTGGAGGGAGAGGAACATGAGAGTGTTTGAAAGGGTCAAGAGTTATTTTGTACATGTGAGGAGTAGTCTCTTGCCTCTAGTTTCTTTTTGTTGCAATCATGAAGTCCTTGTTTGTATGGATGAGTGGATGACTTTTATAGAGAACCATATTTTAGTGTAGGTTTCTCTAGTTTCTGGTATACTTCTTGTATACAGGGATTTTTCTAACATTAATAAAATTATTTACCTTGTCAAAGAAAAAAAAGCTCTCTATCATCCAATTTTGAAGCAGACTATGATTTAGGGGATATCTAATTTACACCCAGTGGTACCTGGAAACTTATTTCTTTGCCCCCAAGTAAATCTACCGTCAGTTATAGGTGGGTGTATATAGTGGAAGTCTATCCAAATGGTTAGATTGATCGTTTGGGGCTCGTTTGGTGGCAATAGGGTATACCCAGATATTTAGCTTTAACTATTTTGAATATTTTTCTCTTGTTACAAAAATTACATTAGTTAGGCTTTTCTTATCCACGACAGCTGTTCGTCATTGGCCCCTTCATCAGTTAGACATCAAAATGCTTTTCATTCATGTTGATCTCGATGATGAAGCGTATATGGATTATGGAGCAAACATCGAGCTTTTTAAGGGAATATAGTGGACTTGTATGCCGATTGAGCCGATCTTTATATGGTTTAAATCAACCCCCTCGAGCATGGTTTAGTTAAGTTTAGCACAAATATAAGGAGCTTGGCATGATTCGAAGTTAAACTAATCATTCTGTATTGTATACCTGATACCTCTAATTTGCGTATCTACTTGGTAGTGTATGTTGATGATATAGTTTTCACTGGCTCAAGAAGGTATTGACAGCTTGAAGGAACATCTCTTTCAACATTTCCATACCAAGAAGCTATGTAAGTTATGATACATCTTAGGTATTGAAGTAGCTCCATCCAGATCAGGCATTTTCATCTGAAAGTATGCTCTCAATATACTTGAGACAAGGATGATAAACTGTAGACCTATCAATACACCTATGGACCCAAATGACAAGTTTCTTCCATGTCAGCGGAGCCTCTCAATGAACCTAGGAGATACGGGAGATCATTTGGGAAATCGAATTCTCTCAATATAAGACGATGTGATATCTCCATTTCAGTGAGTATGATTAGTCAATTTCCAGATTCTCCATGTGAAGCTCATTGGAATAAAGTAGCCTGTATTCTTTGGTATATTAAGTCTGCTCTAGGAAAAGTGCTACTTTATGAGGATTAAGGACACAAGAAGATTCTTGAGCATACAAATGTTGATTGTTGCCGAGTCTCCCTCTGATAGACGCTCTAACTTTGGATATTGTGTTCTAGTTGGAGCAAATTTAGTATCTTAGAAGAGCAAAAAGCACCTTGTGGTTGCAAGATCCGTGTTGAAGCGGAATATCAAGCCATGGTTGTTACGAGTTGTGAATTAATAGGGATTAATCGATTACTGAAAGAATTGAAGTTTAGAGAGACCACTCAGGTAGAACTTATTAATGACAAGCAAGTTGCACTCCACATTTTTCAAACCCAATATTCCATGAGAGGATCAAGCACATAGAGATTGGTTCAATTTGCGAGAGACGATACTTTTGTCACAAGATTTATGAAATCCAATGATTAGCTTGCTAACTTATTTATCAAATCTCTCCTAGGTTCTCGAGTTAGTTATACACGTAAGAAGCTCGGCATATATGACATGTATGCACCAACTTAAAGGAGAGTATTTAGTATGTACATAGGGTTAGTGGGCCCACATTGGACAAGTGTAAATTACTAACTCTCAAAACATATGTATAAATAGATAGAAGGGTAAGGTGTAAATACCACGCATTCCCATATATTTTTCTCTCTCATGTTCTATATGTCTCACAACAACAACAACAAACCCAGTATAAACTCATAGGTCTATATTTCTCAAAACTTGGATTATTTTATGAAGAATCACTCTAAAATGTTTTTCCACTTTGTGCCTTTTATGTTGTAATCAAAACATAATTCAATGTATCTACCCATATACCGAGAAGTTATAATGCTAAAGAATACATGAACTTTGTTTACTCATAGCTTCTTGTTCTCTCTTGAGATGTTCATTCGTCTCAGCGACTTCATCCAAGCATATACAATAAAGTAAGCAATACCTACTATAATGCGGGCCAAGTCATTGGAGTAGGAGATCAGTCCATATTGCTCTTTATTTTAATGAATACATGGTTAATGGCTAGAAAATGAATAGCTCATTGCCTAAAAAGTACTATTCTTTTTCATTTTTCACTTTACTATTTGAAACGAATAACTTAGCAAAAGAAGAATCTCCAGACACATAACAAAAAGAGAATATTGCAGTATCAGATTTGCTTGAAGAAAATAGAACAAGAGCTTACTGCATGTCCAGCGTCCATCACTTGTCAAAAATGAGTCATCTTTCCCCACACATCGAGGGTGATAAGCTTTCAGGCATCGCCTGCAAAACCATCAATATGTTTATTAAACACTAAAGAGAGAAAATTGGTCATGAACCAAGTTGTGTAGTAAACTGCAGGGGCAAAAAGGTAAATTAATTAAAATGCATGCAAACTTCTTTAAAAGGGAAATATAGTCCCTAACGGAAAGAGTGAGAACGATTAAATTAGCTGAATGCCGCTTTTCATATGGACTGTTGGTAGAAAACCTTTTTACACATTTATCAAGTTAGATTACGAGCTTAGTTATTACCAATTAAACTCTATCAATACTTTCGAAGTAAAAAAGGTGTCATAATCTTTAATGCATACAAGTTATTTTGTCTCTGCTTTGTGGTTCACAATCCTCAACATGGTTACAGTTGTTCTTTGGGGGAGGGAGAGACAGACAGAAAGAGAGAGGTGTATGGAGTGTTTGGATTCATACATGTCAATTAGACATGGAAAAAATGAGTTGAAAAAAAAGATCACATACAAAGGAACCTAGAATACGTTCAACTTGTTTAACATTTTAAATTTGGTATTTATTTGAGTAGCAAGAAGAACACGAACAACATCGCTTATTATTGGCGCTGTAAATTAACTATCAAATTTTAGGCTAATCCATTGCTTCTACAATTTCTTTGTTTAAACGTCAAATAGGAGACTGTAAAGGGGTACTGACTGAAAAGATGAATGGATTGCTTGTGTAGACAATCTATATGACCAATCAGATCAAGATCCTCTTTTGATTCCTCGAGAATTGATGCTTTCATTGATCAACAAGACAGGGAGGGTGGAGTTCCTCCCCCAATTTTTCCGTAGGGTCATTCTTGAACCAAAGAAATTCCAAAAAATTTTGATTGGTAAAACCAAATAAAATCCAAATTATTTCTAAGAACCTGAACATGACGATCCCGCTAAAAAGTCGTATCAAATGGTCTAACATCTGTTAAAATATAAATTAGCTTTTTTTAAATTTAAAAAAAAAACATCAACAACAACAAACACAGTGTAATCCCACAAGTGGGGTCTGGGGAAGGTAGTGTATACGCAGCCTTACCCCTACCTGAGAAGGTAGAGAGTTTGTTTTCAATAGACCCTCGGCTCAAGAAAAGATGGAAAAAAAAAAAGGAGTAACAAAAAAGAGCCTTGTGCAAACAGCACCTTAGGAGTTCAAGACGACTCCACCCAACATTGAGCAAACTCATTTGAAATTTTAGTATGTTGCGTAGTTTCCAACTTGGCTTGGTTCTAGGACTCTCCTTAGTCCCTAAATCACTTCCGATACACCTTCTACACTTATTGCCATGTACATGTGATATAGTGCTAGTCTATAGGCTCTTTTACCATGTAATACATTACTTCTAATCATCATCGCCGCACTTTAAAGTCTTAAAACCTTATGAAACTTTCAGGGACTTTACAGTGGGTTAGAGAGAGAAGGTCCAATTTTTCTCTACTTTCATCCCTAGAGATTTTCCTAGGAAAATCTCACCATTCCTTTCGTGGGAATACAATTTGAGATGAAAAATTTCAACNATAGAGTCAAAATTGAAGTAAGTCCTTATGATTCAACCAAAGGGCGTATAATTTATCGACTCCACAACAAAGATTTGAAGGATTCGTTTTTCAACTTCACCATTCCTTTCGTGGGAATACAATTCGAGATGAAAAATTTCAAGAAACTTATTTTCTTCCAAGAAATAGATTCAGAATTAAGGTAAGGAATGAGAAATATGAAAATAAGAGCTTCCGTTCGTAAAATTTGTGAAAAATGTCGACTAATCCGTAGGCGGGGACGAATTATAGTAATTTGTTCCAAACACTTTCCTCTGTTAGAGAAACTTCAGCAGAGGTAAGAAGAGGAACATATATCTTCTACTTCTACCATTCCCCACTACTCTTATATTTTAGATAGTGCTCCCTATTGTCTACTACAATAGATTCCCACATTAAATCTCTCCAAAAGTTTGGACCTTCTCAGTATGGAATTGTAAGTATTAAGCACAAAGCATAACAAATAACTCAAACCTTAACTACAATTGATTAGCGAAACCGCCAGATGGAACACAAATCACTGATGAATCTAGACATACACTTTCCTCTCCTAATAAATAACCCCCTTTTCAACCCTTGACAAATACGGCATCAGAGCCGAATCTCCCTCAGTACGATGGTGGGACAAACCTCAGCGAGGACGCTAAGTCCCAAAAGGAGGTGAATGTGATTCCCATGATGGAGGGGGGTCTGATGAGGGTGGGTCAAGCAGGACTGGCAGGCTTCTAGGTTGGCAAGCTTCTAAAGAAGGGGTGTACATATCACATTAGGCGAATCTCACATCGAAATGGGAGAGAAAAGTGAAGGCTCGATGATGGTATAGCCCAAGGGACAAATCCGTGCAGGCCTAGGGCCAAAGCGGATCATACGTGCCATAGGCTTGAGTCGTGATAAATTTCCTCTCCTAATAAATAACCCCCTTTTCAAACCATCAAGGTTAAACCCCAGAGAAATAAATAAGCCCCTTCCTCCAAGAAACTTGGAAACTCTTCTTATTACTAACTCTATAAACCCCGTAAACCCTCAACCTACTGCAATGAAACCAAGCCTTTGATAATCCTAAGCAAGTTGAAAATACAACTATAAAGGTTGTTCTATCAGGTCACTCCTTAAAACAAATACCACCATTCAAGACAACTTAAATACTAGGAAAAGATTTCAACTCTATAAGCCTAGAAGATGAAATGACAAACAAAAATTGTCTGACCAATTTTACTCCTTTAACTTCTGAAGATAAAATTAGATTATACAGAAACCCGAAAAATGCTCAAATCGTAAGGGTCCTGCGAAGATAATTGCGGTATAACTACCTTAAATAAAACGAAAACGGGCCAAAACTGCCTCTAACCTATTCGCTGAGGTATAAAAATACCCTTAAAGATTGCCCCTAACGTCAACTTTCTGGCCCACACACCCTGAAAAACTAACAGTTCTATTTTGATTAAGAAAATTTTTTATTACTTATTATGTGTCAGTTTCTTATTGGATTAAATTAAAACCTCACCCCACATCCACTTATTAACCCACTTCATGACCCAAAATATCCATACCCGACCCATGACCCGCTTTTTAAAATGCCCTTACTTCTCCTCTTCCGTCCCTGCCCTCCCACTCCATATTTTCTCTGACCATTCTCCTCCATGGCCAAAGTACAATAACTCACCATTGCCGATAGAGGACCACCATCGGCTTCAACTTTCAGATTTTCACCCTTCAACACTCACGGATCTCCCTCTCTTACTCAGATTTTTCGGCCTTAATTTAATTTTAATTTAACATCTTTTTATTATATAAATTTTCTGAGTGAAATCTAGTATTCTTTGGAATTAAATTAATGGTTTATTTTAAGATTTTATGGTTTAATAAGTTATCTTTCGGCCAAAGTTATATTTGTTGTGCCACCATGTAGTTTTTTGGAGTTAATTGAAATCATGAGAGCATATTAGCTTCACAGTTCGCCAGCGGTGATTTGGTTGGGAAACTGTCGGCGGTGATTAAGTTGGGGAAGATGGATAGGGAAAAGGATAGGGTACCAAATAATAAATTAATAAAAAGAAAAATATAAAATTTTGACAAATGAAACCTAAATAATGATTGGATCATGAGTCGGGTATGGAATCGGGTGTTTGAAGGGCTAAAAGGGTTTAACGGGTTGGAACGACTAAGATGGATCGTGAGTGAGTTATTTACGGACCAGGTCTGGGTTAGAGTGGAATTTTTAATTTTGACCAATAAGCCATTGCCACGTCATATATAATAAAATACTTTTTAGTTCAGCAAAGGCCCGTCAGAAATAAGGGCATCAATGTGTCAGATGGGCAATTTTTGCAAAATAGGTGGACGAAGGGTATTTTAAAACCTAAGCGAATAGGTTAAGGGCAGTTTTGGCCCTTTTCCATAAATAAAAAATTAATTCAATCTGGAAACCAAAAAAAAAAATTAATCGATCTTGGAATTATGATTTCTATCAGATTAAATTTAGCAAGTCTGAAATTTATACCAAAGCCTTGCATGTGCCATGGTTCATACTTCATAGATAACAGTTTCCTGATAGTACAAAAATGGGAACCAACATTTGTCGCCTCAGATCAACACTTTATATCATATATAGCCATCTGGGCAAGACTGATGGGACCTCCCACAGAATTTTATGACTTAGAAGTCCTTTCTAAAATAGGATATATGATTGGATAGTTACTCAGGATCAATTACTGCATAAAGTCTACACGTCTAGGAAAATATGCTTGAATATGCATCTAGGTTCCATTAGAAAATCTTCTACCAACTGAAGTTTTTATTGTCCGTCATAAACAAAAGATCTCTTATAAGGGCTTCAACAACATTTTTCTTAAATGTAATAGGCTAAGTCACTGTCATAGAACTCTAAATTGTCCATATGTCCAAGAAACAAGCAAAATGCCTCCAAATCCAGACACTAATCCAAACTTGGCACTAAATCTGATACTGTCCAACAATGAAGAACCACAATCAGATTGTGCTTCAACTTCTTTAAGCAAAAACAATAAAGTAAACCATACTACAAAGGGTAACTCTAGCGTTAGTTCGAAAAGCAAAGAAAATAAATCCAAATCTGACTACTTTTACCCTAATGAAGTAACGGGAACTAATAACACAGTACACCATAAACCTACTAGTCAAGAACACAGAAACTTTGAAACCCACCGAGTCTGAAAAGAACTCCATACAACCTGAGGCAACAGTCACGAAAGGAATGGAGAGGAAGAAGTCCCAGCAACAACTACCTTCATCGAAACAACTACCAAAAATAAGAGCAACTCAACCCAAAACAAAAGAGCAACTCGACAAACTCCCTCGGGCTAGCCTCCAACCCCAATATCTATACACCACCCCAACCCAATAATTTTAAGTTTATATGTAGCACCCAAGGGTATGGCCTAGTGGTCAATGAAGTGGGTGAGAACCATGGAGGTCTCAGGTTCAA